ATAAAGAATAAAAGATAATTAAAAGAGATCAAATTGAGTTCAACAAACATTTTAATCAAAAAAGTCAAAAGTATTAGTCAAAAAATAAATAAAATACAATAAAATGGAATAATAATCAAATAAATTTATGGTCAAAAGGTAAAATAAATAACAATCAGTAAAAGATTCGTAGTAATTAAGCAACTGAGTCAATGATAATAAAATTGAAATACTCACTATCAAATTGATAAATTAAATAATTGTCGTTAAAATCTCTCGTACATCCGACACACAGTAACGACACAAATATCTCGGCACAAACATCTTGTGTAAAGAACAAAATACAAATGCGAGAAAAACAAGATAGAAAGGCCGAGATAATAATAGATAAGCATGAGAANGAAGAGAGAGCGCAGACGCAAAATTACTTCACCGCAGACTTCTTTGTGTGTCTTATTATCTTTCTTCAAACGTACCAACTTATATTTGGAACAGGATTTTTGACACTCATAAAACTTCCTTTTGTAAATTAAAACATCGTGAATATTAAAAAATGGATAAAAAAGTCTCTTGGTTGTTAAAAAAAGTTTCAATTGATAACCATAATTCCTTAAATACCCACTAAACATGAAATATACATGCAATGTTTCAAATTGTTTCATTTAGGTTTCAAATAATACATTGTACGTATTTGTTTTTGATATAATTCATAAATGTTACAATTGAAATATTTCATCATAGTTTATATTAGAAATATTTCAAATAAAATATCTCAATTGATATGTATTTGAAACATTCCGAAGTTACGTTTTAGATATATTTACAAAATAATAGTAAAATAAACATTTCAAATAAAATGTCTCAATTGATGTGTATATGAAATATTTCAAACGTTACGTTTTAGGTATATTTCCAAAATAATACTAAAATAAATATTTCAAATTAAATATTTCAATTGATATGTATTTGAAATATTCCTAAGTTACGTTTTTGATATATTTATAAGATAACAGTAAAATAAATATTTCAATTGAAATATCTCAATTGATATGTATTTAAAATATTCCGAAGTTATATTTTGTACATATTTAAAAAATAATAATAAGATAAATATTGCAAATGAAATATCTCAATTGATATGTATTGGAAATATTCCGAAGTTATGTTTTGTGCATATTTACAAAATAATAATAAATAAATATTTCAAATGAAATATCTCAATTAGATATGTTGCTAACACTGATGTTTCATTTGTCAGTGTTGGCAACACTTCAACGATGGTAATCGGTGCGGTCGAAGCGGTCCTAATTGTAAGACGATTTATAGAACTGTTGTTATTTATAAAATTAAACACACATACAAACACATTTAACAATCGGCAACAAAATAAGAAGTTTTATATACAATGTCAAAAGACAGTAGTGAAACATATAATGAAGCATGTGCCTCTTCGAGCCAGTCTGTTACGGTATGTACATACTCTATTAATTACTTTATACTATTAACAAAAGTAAATTTTTAACACATTTCACATTATCTATATTTATATAATAGATTAAATTTAATGAATGTAATTTATTATACTTACAATTAGTTTATTTAAATTGTTAGGTTATGTCTAAATTATAATTAAATTAAGATTATATATATATATATATATATATAAATCAACTTTTTAACATTTACATAATTTGCTTAAATTTTTGTTTTTTATATGTTTTTCTTATTTTAAAGCTAAGAGGCCTAATCTGTAACAATTAACTACATATAACTATAACCTCTGTATGTAATCGCTATGCTCAACATACATATGCATGTTTTATAACATATAAAATATTATGCGCAATGATTACACACAGAGCTTATAGTTATATGTAGCTGTTACAGAATAGATCTCTAAATTATATACACATATACATACAATGAGATACAACACAAAAAGTAAGAGAAAATTTAGTTGAAAAGTAAAGAAACTTTTTAAACGTAATATTTTAGATGCAACTTATATACAAGAATTTAAATAAAAACAATAAGATTAAAATTTAAACATAATTAAAAATAATGTAATACCTGGTCTACACACTGTCTTTAAGAACATATCTTTGAGATAGTTGTTGTCTCTATACGTTATCTTAAGATTATACTTTAAGATAGCGTATAGACAACAACTATCTTAAAGATAGGTTCTTAAAGACAGAGCATAAGAGACATTTCGAATTTGAATTTCCTAAATTATTATTAATTCTGTTTCCAAAGTCTAATTTTTCTTTTTTATTTTGAAACGTGATCATAAAAGTCGTGTATGTATATATTTTGTACATCATTTTTTATATGTATATATTATTGTATATATTTTATGTATATATTATTTATATCATATATATTTTTTATTTATAGGTACAGAAGAGAAAAACGAAACAGTTATCAAAGGTAACAAAGAGACATTTACGTAGAATAGCATGTGATGAATTTTATAAGACCAGAAAACAACAAAATGTTACACACGCGAATATACATGATGTTAATGAAACGCAATGCACTTCTTATCAAATAACTGAAAATATTTCAATTAAATCTGATGACATAGATAATAATACTGATGTTTACACTAATGTACAACATATTTATAATAATGTTAACAACTCCATACAATTAACAGAAACTAATTATATTAATGTTGATGAAAATGTATGTCACACCCAAAGTAAAATAAGTTTAACAGACAAGATAGCAAATTGGGCTGTTACTAATAATATATCACATAATTCTGTTAATAAGTTATTGTCAATATTGAGATCAGAAAATCTTCCCGTTCCACGAGATTGTAGAACATTAGTAAAAACTCCTTTAGCCTGTAATAATATTATAGACATGCCACCTGGTGCATACATACATTTTGGTATTAAAAAAGGTATATGTCATAAAATACAAAATGTATCATCACAAAAGAAATTGGACATTCTGCCGTTAGCAATTAATATAGATGGTTTACCACTAAGTAAATCATCAAATAGTCAATTTTGGCCTATATTAATGTCAATTGATATCATAGAACTTACAGAACCTTTTATCGTAGGCATTTATCATGGAATGAAAAAACCAGATTCAGTCACAAAGTTTTTGGATGCTTTTGTAGAAGAATATTTGTTTTTAAAGAAAAATGGTATTATTATAAATAATAAATTAATTAGAATCGAATTAAAGAAAATTATTTGTGATGCACCAGCTGCAGCATTTGTTCTTTGTATAAAATCTCATACAGGATATTTCAGTTGTAACAAATGTATGCAAAAAGGCAAATATTTAAGAGGTAAAATGACTTTTCCAAAACTTGATGCTACTTTACGATCTGATAAAGACTTTGAATTACAAGTACAACAAGAACATCATAAAGGTAATACTTCTTTAGGAAAACTTGGCATTGGATTAGTCAGTAATGTACCACTCGACTACATGCATCTGGTATGCCTTGGTGTTATGAAAACACTTTTAATGTTTTTTATTGGGAAAAAAGGAAAAAATTGTAGATTAAATGATAACAGTATCAAAACAGTATCAAAAACTATGAGAATTTTTAGAAGATATGTTCCTCAAGAATTTTGTCGTTTACCGAGATCCCTAGAAGATATAGAACATTGGAAGGCAACAGAATTTAGACAATTTTTATTATACACAGGTCCTGTAGCACTCAAAGGGAAATTGTCTAAAGTACAGTTTAAACATTTTCTATGTTTACATGTTGCTATAAGAATTTTGTGTTCTGTAAAATGTATTAGCCTCAATAGATATGCAAAATCCTTACTTAGATATTTTGTCAAAAACTTTAAAAAGATATATGGTAACGAATATATTACGTTTAATGTTCACAATCTCCTGCATCTTTGTGATGATGTGTTATTGTATGGAGCACTTGATAATTTTAGCGCGTTTAAATTCGAAAACTATATGAGTAACATTAAAAGAAATATAAAAAAGTCACGATATCCGTTACAACAAATACACAATAGAATAATTGAAGATAGAAAGTTAATTCATATTAAAAAACCTTCTAATTTTATATCGTTTCAAGAAGATAATACTTTAGTATGCAATGAACATGAGAAAACTTATTATAGAAAACTTACTTATGAAAATCTTACAATATCATTATGTCAAAGAAATAATTGTGTTCTTTTGAAAAATTCTACTTACATGCTAATTTCGAACATTTATAAAAATAATAATAATGACATAAAAATAGTTGGAAGAATCTTCCAAAATGTATTGGATTTTGTAAAAAAGCCTTCATTTAGTTTAGCCATTAAAATCGTTGACATACATGAGACATCAGAAATATCAACGTTTGATTTTAAAGACATTAAAGCAAAGTGTGTACTTCTACCAATTAATAATAATAAATTTGCGATAATTTCAATATTGCATAAAAATGATTAATATTGCATACTAAAGTATATATATATATATTTATGTAATGTGTACTTAATTAGCGTGTATTATTCTTTCTTTGTGTATAATTTATAACTTATGATACTTTTCATGTGTATATTAGTGTATTGTAAAAAATGTATGTAAAATATTTATACATATATTATAATAGTTTTCTGATCTTTCAAATAGTGTATGTAATTATAAAATAGTTATTATAAAATGTTATTATAAAATACGTTCTGTAAGTTCAAGTTTGTTCTTGACAATTTAAAAAAATACATTTTCTACAGCAAGATCTAAAATATTCCGTTGTCAAATTTAATGAAGAATATGAAGAAAACGAAACATATTCTGTGATTCCAACCTTCTGGTTAAAAGATGATAAATACACTTATTGGCCAAAAAAAGACACACGTAATTCTATTATAAAATGCAAGAAACCACGCAATGATTGGATTCTGTATCCAATTACTGTTCTCGCCAAATATGGTATGTATTTATAATTGATAATAATTATATTAACTTATACGTACATCCATAAAAAGTATTTATAAAAGAAAAACATCTTATATATTGTATATATGTAGATAATATAACATAAAAATAGTAAGTAAAATTGGCTTCATTTTTCAGATTCATANGAACAACCTTTAAAAAAAGAAAAGAGATTGATGGAAGACAAAAATAGTAATACTGAATCAGAAAATTTAGGCCGCGGATTTAGGAAAAAAATGATTCCAAATCGTTTTGAAAAGGAGAACGGTAATTTTTATTTCGGAAAGATATTTGTTTCTTTAGTTACTTTTTTTATATTGCATAGAAATAAATATATATTATATGTATTTACAGATAATTATAGTGATTCGAGCAAGACTGATGAAGAAGAAGCCAGCAGTGATAACGATTCGATTCCTGATAAGACTTTAGATGAACAAGGTATAATCACACTAATGCAGTTTATCATTATAAACGTTTTTAAATGTGAGAAATATTCTATGAAAAAAAATTTCTTACTACATATGTATTTACTATTACATATATGTATATATCTAGTATTACCACATATTTTACTAAATATCACATTTACTGAATATCACACACACACACACACGCTAGCACGCACGCATGTGTGTATGTGTGTGTAAAAGAGAGACAATTTGTTATATTATATGTATGTATATATATTTATTTTATTAAATTATATTTTTTAAGACAAAATATTTTACAGATATTGATGTCGACCAAAATGTTAGTGACAGGGATACACAAATTCTAAATATCGATGAAATTCCTGTTATTATAGAAACAGAGAACAATAATATTTCTGTGAATAATAGTAAGTTTTATTCTTATATGTTTATATTTTATTTTTGCATGAAAGGAAACACTTTTATGACTAAGAAAAGCAAGATTTTTATGTAAATTATAAATATGCATAAANTAAAAAAGTTATTATAATATATGTAATTTTCATTATAAGATTATCATATTGATACAGAACAATTAAACAATATACTTTAATTATTTTATCAATTTAAAAATTAATTTATAAAAGAGTTATAAACGATATAACTAAATATAATTATATAATATATATTTTATATTACAGCTAAGCAAACTCTTGATTCTATTCTACGTTACGTTATTGAAATAAAAATTTTATGTACACGATTAGATAATCGTTTACATAATTTGGAAAATGGTAATCATGTAATAAATAATCATAATATTGATATGATTCCACAATTACCAATGAATCAAATTGAAGACATTAATAATTTTGAAGCTATATTAGTGGCAGAAGAAGCACAATCACAATTGGTATGCCTTTCATTACTATCTAATCATTTTGACGTTATTCATACAGCAGAAAATATTTGAGATGTCAATCAGACATTATTTCATATGTTTGTTACGTATATCAAATTTATATTAATTTACACATAAAGTGATATTTCATTGACATTTCCGTGTATCCTTTCTCGTGTGAGTAAAAATATAATTTATTAAAAATTTTGTTGTAGGTCAATATGTTGGTTATGATTGGTGGTGTTACACCAAAAGACGCAATGAAAAGAGCATTGCAAAAATTGTTTACCAACAATCTCGCTTCGAAATGCTCTTGGACCGGAGCAAAAAACAACTTTAAATTAAGAGATTTAAAAATTATTACTTGCATAAAATGTAAGTAATATTGTTATATTACTTTGCTTATTATTTAACTTTCTTTGAATAAATAATTTAAAAGTATTTTTAAAGTATCATATAAGTTTTTATATATTTGATATATTTCAGCTGCTATAAAAAAAAGTTGTCCTGCCATTACAGAAGCGGAGTTTGAAGAAAATTTAAACACTTGGTTCAGACAAGCAAATCTCCGATTAATTCGCGAAAATGCGAAAGCTAATGCAGCAAATAACATATAAATAACTTTTTCTCTCATTTTTAAAGACTGTATATTGCAATCTGTGATTTGATTGACACGTTCACGCGCGCGCGCGCGCGCGCGCACACACACACACACACACACACACACACA